TTTACTATTCCTTATGTAAAATAAATCTGTTTATGTATTTATTTTGCAAAATGCTTTCCAGAAAAATAAAAGGAGGTCCACCATGCCAAAATGTGCGTGTGCATATATGCAAAAACTCTCATGATTTAAACCAGTGGGAGGAAACTGAAAATGGTCATTCTTGCAAGAAAGACAAAAATAAGCCAAGACTAACACTCCTGATCCAGGAAATTTTCCTGCAAATCACCAACAAGAACATGTGCTGAGTTGTCCCTTTTTTCCCTCCTCAACCCCCTTTCCTCTTGTGTCATGGCTTCTCAAACTGTAAACCTTCAGCTAAGGACATAGTTTCTTCGTATGGCAACAAGAAGCTTTCCAGCTTAAGGTGTAGGAAATAAATACTGTCAAGGAAATAAATGTTGGATTAGCTTTAGCAGCTGGAGATGATAGTCCAAATCCAAAATCCCAAGGGAACAGATCCTGGTGGACATCACATGCCAAGGCCCAATTTGAGACCCAATTTTGTTCCCAAATGGAAAACCACCTTCAGTGGATGAGGCCCGCTAGACGCGTGTCCAATAAGTACCACACTATCCATGTTTCAGCAGAATTCCTTTGATTTGATCCAATTTTCATGCACTGTATTCCCCTTGTATTCTTATGGTCCCTTGTATTCTTATGTGGCTTCAACTCATTTTTGATTTATGGTGACCCCAAAACAAACCACTCACGGGGTATTCTTGGCAAGATTTGTATTCATAGAGCAGGGGTCCTCAAATTAAGGCCCAAGGGCCAGAAACAGCCCTCCAAGGCCATTTACCCGGCCCTTGCTCAGGGTCAACCTAAGTCTGAAAGTACTTGAAAGAACACCACAACAACAACAACAACCCTATGTCATCATCCAAAAGCAGTCCCACACCCCATTGAAACACTAATAAGTTTATATTCATTAAAATTGTTCTTCATTTTAATTATACTATTGTTTTTAAGTGTTTTTTTCATAGAATCATAGAATCAAAGAGTTGGAAGTGACCTCATGGGCCATCCGGTCCAACCCCATTCTGCCAAGAAGCAGGAATATTGCATTCAAATCACCCCTGACAGATGGCCATCCAGCCTCTGTTTAAAAGCTTCCAAAGAAGGAGCCTCCACCACACTCCGGGGCAGAGAGTTCCACTGCTGAACGGCTCTCACAGTCAGAAAGTTCTTCCTCATATTCAGATGGAATCTCCTCTCTTGAAGTTTGAAGCCATTGTTCCGCGTCCTAGTCTCCAGGAAGCAGAAAACAAGCTTGCTCCCTCCTCCCTGTGACTTCCTCTCACATATTTATACATGGCTATCATGTCTCCTCTCAGCCTTCTCTTCTGCAGGCTAAACATGCCCAGCTCCTTAAGCCGCTCCTCATAGGGCTTGTTCTCCAGACCCTTGATCATTTTAGTCGCCCTCCTCTGGACACATTCCAGCTTGTCAATATCTCTCTTGAATTGTGGTGCCCAGAATTGGACACAATATTCCAGGTGTGGTCTAACCAAAGCGGAATAGAGCCTGGGGAGCATGACTTCCCTAGATCTAGACACTATGCTCCTATTGATGCAGGCCAAAATCCCATTGGCTTTTTTTGCCGCCACATCACATTGTTGGCTCATGTTTAACTTGTTGTCCACAAGGACTCCAAGATCTTTTTCACACGTACTGCTCTCGAGCCAGGCATTGTCCCCATTCTGTATCTTTGCATTTCGTTTTTTCTCTAAGTGGAGTATCTTGCATCTGATATGTGCAGTGTGCATAGGAATTCATTCATATTTTTTTCAAATTATAATCCACCCTTCCGACAGTTTGAAAGACTGTGATCTGGCCCCCTGTTTAAAAAGTTTGAGAACCCCTGGCATAGAGGTTGCCTTTGCCTTCCTCTGAGGCTGAGAGAGTGTGACCGGTCTAAAGTCACCCAATAGGTTGCCATGGAAGAGTGAAGATTCGAGCCCTGGACTCTAGAGTCAAAGCCAATGTTCAACCCATCTCAAGGAAGCAATTTTGAGATTTGGGTTATTGTAGGTTTTTTCGGGCTATATGGCCATGTTCTAGAGCAGTGGTTCTCAACCTTCCTAATGCCGTGACCCCTTAATACAGTTCCTCATGTTGTGGTGACACTGAACCATAAAATTATTTTCGTTGCAACTTCATAACTGTTATTTTGCTACTGTTATGAATAGTAATGTAAATATCTGCTATGCAGGATGTATTTCCATTCACTGGACCAAATTTGGCACAAATACTCAATAGGTCCAAATTTGAATACTGGTGGAATTGCAGGGAGATTGATTTTGTGATTTGGGAGACATAGTTGTTGGGATTTATAGTTGACCTACAGTCAAAGAGCATTCTAAACTCCACCAGTGATGGAATTGAACAAATCTTGGCACACAGAACTCCCATGACCAACAGAAAATACTAAAAGGTTTTGGTGGGCATTGACCTTGAGTTTTGGAGTTGTAGTTCATCGACATTAAGAGAACACTATGGATTCAAACAATGATGGATCTAGACCAAACTTGGCACAAATACCCAATATGCCCAAATGTGAACATTGGTTGATTTTGGGGGAAATAGTCCTTTACATTTGAGAGTTGTAGTTGCTGAGATTTATAGTTCACCTACAATCACATTCCAAACCCAACTAACAATAAGAATTAGGATAAACTTCCCACACAGAGCCCCCAAGACCAACAGAAAAGACAGTAGGTTCTTGTGGGTTTTTTCAGGTATATGGCCATGTTCTAGAGGCATTTTCTCCTGACGTTTCGCCTGCATCTATGGCAATATCCTCAGAGGTAGTGAGGTCTGTTGGAATTAGGAAAAAGGGTTTATATATCTGTGGAATGACTGGGGGGGGAGGGCAAAGAGCTCTTCTCTGCTGGAGCTAGGTGTGAATGTTTCAACTGACCACCTTCATTAGCATTTGAAGGCCTGGCTGAGCCTGGAGGAATCTTTTTGTTGAGAGGTATTAGGATGTGCCTGGTTGTTTTTAGAAAAGACAGTGTTTTCTGATGATCTTTGCCGACCCCCCCCTCCTTGCGACCCCTCCAGGGGTCCCGACCCCCAAGTTGAGAAACGCTGTTCTAGAGGCATTCTCTCCTGATGTTTCACCTGCATCTATGGCAAGCATCCTCAGAGGTAATGAGGTCTGAGGATGCTTGCCATAGATGCAGGCAAAACGTCAGGAGAGAATGCCTCTAGAACATGGCCATATAGCCCAAAAAAACCTACAACAACCCAGTGATTCTGCCCAAGAAAGCCTTCGACAATACAATTTTGAGATCTTAAAACACAATCATCATTACCATTCCTTTAAAGTTGAAAGCCACCCTAGGATCCCAACATCGGGAGTAAATGTCAAATGCCAAACATATTCCCATTGTATTCATATGGAACCATCCACAATCGCTGTTGTGTGCCTTCAACTCCATTCTGTATGATGGACACACCTAAAGCAGTGGTTCTCAACCTTCCTAATGCTGTGACCCCTTAATACAGTTCCTCATGTTGTGGTGACCCCCAACCAGCAAATTATTTTCATGACAACTTCACAACTGTAATTTTGCTACTGTTATGAAGCATAATGTAAATATCTGATATGCAGGATGTATTTTCATTCACTGGAACAAATTTGGCACAAATACCCAATACACCCAAATTTGAACACTGGTGGCATTGAGTGGGGGGTTGATTTTGTCATTTGGGAGTTGTAGTTGCTGGGATTTATAGTTCACCTACAATCATTCCAAACTCCACCAATGATGGAATTGAACCAAACTTGGCACACAGAATTCCCATGACCAACAGAAAATACTGGAAGGGTTTGATGGGCATTGACCTTGAGTTTTGGAGTTGTAGTTCACCTACATCCAGAGAGCACTGTGGACTCAAACAATGATGGATCTGGACCAAACTTGGCATGACACTCAATATGTCCAAATGTGAACTCTGCAGGAGTTTGGGGAAAACAGACCTTGACATTGGAGTTGTAGTTACTGAGATTTATAGTTCACCTACAATCACATTCCAAACCCAAATAATGATAAGAATTAGGATAAACTTCCCACACAGAACCCCAAAGACCAACAGAAAAGACAGTGTTTTCTGATTGTCTTTGCCGACTCCCCTTTGCGACCCCTCCAGGGGTCTCGACCCCCAAGTTTGCCCCCCCCCCTCTTGCGACCCCTCCAGGGGTCTTTGCCGACCCCCCCCCCCCTGCAACTCCTCCAGAGGTCTTGACCCCCAAGTTGAGAAATGTTGTTCTAGAGGCATTCTCTGATGTTTCACCTGCATCTATGGCAAGCATCCTCAGAGGTAGTGAGGTATGAGGATGCTTGCCACAGATGCAGGCAAAACGTCAGGAGAGAATGCCTCTAGAACATGGCCATATAGCCAGAAAAAAACCTGGCCCAGTGATTCTGGCCATGAAAGCCTTCGACAATAAAATTTTGAGATCTTAGAACACAATCACCATTACCATTCCTTCAAAGTTGAAAGCTACCCTAGGATCCCAACACTGGGAGTAAACATCAAATGCCAAACATATTCCCATTGTATTCATATGGAACCATCCACAATCGCTGTTGTGTGCCTTCAACTCCATTCTGAATTATGGACATCCTAAAGCTAACACATCACAGATAATTTCAGAGTGGGTTGACCATTGCCTTCCTCTGAGGATGAGAAAGCATGACTTTTCCAAGGTCACCTAGTAGTTTTCTGCATCTGATTCTGGTCTCTAGAGACATAGTCCAACATTCAGACCTCTTCATGCAAGCAATTATGGAGATCTTGGAACATAGCAACCTATAGTAGTGTTCCTTCAAAGCTGAGATCTACCCCAGGACCTTAGGATCACACTATGTTTCTTAGATAAACACTGGCAGTGGAAGTCAATTGCCTAACACCCGTACCCAAAATACACACACACACACACACACACAGCATGGCTTGCTTCCAAGGGCGATGCAATGCTGGCAGACCCTCACCTTCATGCCCACCAAGTTGTTGTGGAAGTCCACCCGGGCGCGGAGGTCCTTGTTGGACTTCTTCCCGAGGAACTCCTTGACAAATTTGTTGCTGTACTTGAGGTTGTCCCCACAGCCGCCCCACTGCCAGGCTTCGCGGTTCTCCAGGTCGGGGGCTTCGTCACAGGTGCAGCGCTCCATGCGCCCGGCGCTGCAGGCCTTAGCCATGGCGTGGGTGAGCCCCGCCGAAGAGATGGCAAAGAGGAAGGCGGTCTCCTTGAAGCCTGCAAAGGGCAACAGTGTCAACATCCCATATTAGACATGGGCAAATCTTGGCCCTCCAGGTGTTTGGACTCCAACTCCCACCATTCCTAACAGCCTACTGGCTGTTAGGAATGGTGGGAGTTGAAGTCCAAAACACCTGGGAGGCCAAAGTTAGCCTATGTTTGTCCAATACACATCATGCATTTATTATATTGAGTTTGGAGAGTGGCTCCAAGAAATGGGCTTAACTTACAAGTCTTGTTGATTGATTCTGGGGGAAGGAAGGCAAGAATCACTTTAGGGCAGTGGTTCTCAACCTGTGGGTCCCCAGGTGTTTTGGCCTACAACTCCAAGAAATCCCAGCCAGTTTACCAGCTGTTAGGATTTCTGAGAGTCGAAGGCCAAAACATCTGGGGACCCCAGGTTGAGAACCACTGCTTTAGGGGATACATGTTCCCCAGTGTATCTAATTAGACCCTACATTTTGTTTTATGATGGAACCAAGGTCCTAGTCCTCATGGATGGAGGAAGCTGCTTGAAAGCATTCTAATGAAAATGTCCACTAAGACTTCATGAACCTTCAAGCAACTAGAAGTAGATCCAAGCCATATTCTTCCTTGAGCATTGTTTCTGGGGTCCAAAAGGCTCTCTAGATTTTATTTACAATTAAACAACAAAATTGTCCTAAATAGTTGCTGGAAAGAAATGCCTCCTTTAAATCTAAGATGCCCAGAGAGACCCACAATAATGGCAAATCCCCTACTTGTGTGGCCCCTTGTAGATTTGAACGCAAGGCAATGAAACAAAGTCAGACCTCCACCCTCACTGGGGCTAAGGGCACAAGAACCCCATGGAAGTGAGAAAACCACATAATTTAGAAATCCACAATGTTCATCCTCAGAGAATGCCTCCCTGGGAATCTCTAGGTCAGGGGTCCTCAAACTTTTTAAACAGAGGGCCAGGTCATAGTCCCTCAAACTGTTGGAGGGCCGGATTATAATGTGAAAAAAACATAAATGAATTCCCATGAACACTGCACATATCTTACTTAGCAGTGCAAAAAAAACAATTAAAAACAATACAATAATTAAAAGGAAGAACAATTTAAAGAAATATAAACATACTCGTATTTCAATGGGAAGTGTGGGCCTGCTTTTGGCTGATGAGATAGGATTGTTGCTGTTGTGTGCTTTCAAGTCATTTCAGACTTAGGTTGACCCTGAGCGAGGGCCAGGTAAATGACCTTGGAGGGCCGTATCTGGCCCTCGGGCCTTAGTTTGAGGACCCCTGCTCTAGGTCCTCCAGCACATATTTATGGTCGACTTCCATAGGATGACTTCAAGAAGATGACCCTAAAGATGCCCTGGAGTACATAGACATTCTGAGAGAGAACATTTTAAGCAATTGTCATGGGCCAACCGTATTCCCAGCAGCAGGAAGGATGAGGGATCAATGCCACCCCAAAACCCCAACCAACCACCACTCCAACACGGCCTACTTTACCTCTCTTCAGAAGGCTGGCCCTGTAGCGCCCCTCGAGGGTGCAGTTCCAGCGCTCAAAGCGGAACTGGTACTGGCACTCCAGGGCGCTCATGCTGATGGCCTCCATGAGGGTCTCGGCCACGCCGGGGTCTCGCCGGCACATCCTCCGCTGCTTCTTCTCCAGCTTCAGACGGTCACACACTTTGTAATGGGCTTTGACGGCAGCTTCCTCCATTTCCAAGGTCAGAGGGAGGATGGTCAGGGGTTCATTCCCAGTCAACCTGAGGAGGGAAGAGGATGCTATAAGTCATCCAGGAAAAAGAATCACTTGAGTGCTGCACCCAATTCTGGGCACCACAATTGAAAGGAGATGTTGACTCTTAAGCTGGAATGTGTCCAGAAGAGGGTGACTAAAATGATAATGGGTCTGGATAACATGCCCTATGAGGAGCAACTGAAAGACTTGGGCATGTTTAGCCTGCAGAAGACAAGGCTGAGAGGAGACATGATGGCCATGTATAAATATGTGAGGTGAAGTCACAGGGAGGAGGGAGCAAGCTTGCTTTCTGCTGCCCTGGAGACTAGGATGCAATGGAACAATGGTTTCAAACCAAAGGAAAGGAGAGGCCACCTGAACATGAGGAAGAACTTCCTGACTATAAGAAGAGCTGCTCAGCAGTGGAACTCTCTGCCTTGGAGTCTGGTGGTAGCCCCTTTCTGGAAGCTTTGAAACAAAGGCTGAGTGGCCATCTGTTGGAGGTGCTTTGATTTTGCTTTTCCTGCATGGCAGGGGGTTGGACTATCTGGCCCACGTGGTCTCTTCCAACTCTATTATTCTATGAGTCTATAAAGGGAACAGGACTAGCTCCCCAATGTCTACCACTAGTCCAAGCAAAATTATTCAAGTTGGTGGACACCAAAAATTTCATATTAGACCCTGTGCTTTTCCTATACAGTCATCCCTCTACAGTATGGAGCACCGGGTGAGTTGAATCCCTGTGCCGACAGGACTGAAGACCGACAGGTCGCAGGTTCAAATCCGGGGAGAGATGGATGAGCTCCCTCTGTCAGCTCCAGCTCCCCAAGCGGGGACATGAGAGAAGCCTCCCACAAGGATGATAAAAACATCAGATCATCCGGGCGTCCCCTGGGCAACGTCCTTGCAGACGGCCAATTCTCACAGCAGAAGCGACTTGCAGTTTCTCAAGTAGCTCCTGACACGACAAAAAAAATTCCCTCTACAGTTGAGGGTTTGAACTCTTGCAGATTTGATTATGCACAGATTTGATTTCAAACCTGCTCTCTAGGTGTACCTGGATACTCTAATGTGACTGACTTCATGATCAACTTCCTTCAGCCATGCTATATATTTCTAGAAATAACGACTCTCTAAGATTTCCTAAGTCCTCTGATGTAATTCTGTGTTCAGCGTTTCCCCGCCCAATGCTTACCCAGTAAACTGCCCCTTGGTCACCAAAAGTCAGGGTGAAAATGCTACTGGAATTTTGCACAGGAAAATCAAAGTGGGAAAGAAGATCATTAAAAATTATTTTGATTTAGTGACAACAGAAGCGCAATGTCTTGCAGTAAGCAAAAACCAAAGATGCTATTGTCCTGAAGCAATTCCATTTGACCTGCTTCATGTGATAAGTCTCACAAAACAAGTAATAGTGAGACAGAAGTCCTTTCCAAGGGTGATAACCTCAAAGCCACCTTTCCTGACTGAGGTGCCCACTGGGAGGCCTACTTTGAGGGCTCTTCCAACCATGAAGAGCCCTCAAAGGATATCTAGTCCAACCTCATTCTGCTACACATGAATAATAATAATAATACTTTATTTATACCCCACTACCATCTCCCCAAGGGACTCGGTGTGACTTATATGAGGTCGAGCCCACAATACAACAATACAAGCAGTAACAAATACAGTACAAAGCAATTAAAATAGATCTCATACACAAATAGCATAAATATTGAACAAGGTACAGTGCACATTTAAAATCTATGGCTGGGCCAAATGTAATTGAAGTTTAAAAAATAATGCTAGAAGATAAAGGAGGTGGGGCATTGATTGAGACATACAAGCAGACCTAAATCAATATAAAGTGCTTTTGGAGGACATAATGCTAAGGGTTCATTATTCTGGGAAGGCACACTGGAACAACCACGTTTTCAAGCTCCTCCTGAAGACTGCCAGAGATGGGGCATGCCTGATGTCCTTAGGAAGTGAGTTCCAGAGTCGAGGGGCCACCACCGAGAAGGCCCTCTCTCTCGTCCCCACCAATCGCGCTTGCGATGCAGGTGGGAGCGCGAGTAGGGCCTCTCCAGATGATCGAAGAGATCGTGTGGGTTCATACACAGAAATGCGGTCACACAGGTAGGCGGGTCCCAAATACACAATGCAGGCCTTCCCAAGAAATGGCCATCCAGCCCTTGTTCAAAAAACTCAGGAGAAGGAGACTTCATCAGACTCCGAAGCAATGTATTCTACTGTCAAACAGCTCTGACCATCAGGAAGTTCTTCCTAATGTTTGGGTGACATCTCTTTCCCCACCTCAGAGTATGATGCACAGCTTAGAGAAGAGATGGTCAAGAGGGGACATTTAAAAATGTGAAAGAATGCCATACTTGAATATGGAATATACTTCAGCAAAGACCAAAAGATGGAGCAATAGACTCAGACTCAGGATTAATAATAATAATACTACTTTATTTGTACCCCGCTACCATCTCCCCAAGGGACTCAGTGCGGCTTACATGAGGCTGAGCCCACAATACAACAATAAACAATAGCAACAGTAATACAAAACAATAAATAAACTCATAAGCAGAAAAGAAGCAATAAACATTAACAATAACACGATGCATTTAAAAACCTGGGCCAAATGTAATAATTAAATAAAAATAATAATACTGGGCATGACAAGGTGACATATAACTAGGATAGAAGTTTTGGAGAGGGATGAAATGTGCGGGCAAACCTAGATCACTAGTAAAGTGCGTTTAGGGACATATTGCTGGGAGTTTCCTTATTCTGGGAAGGCACACTGAAACAACCATGTTTTCAGGCTCCTCCTAAAAACTGCCAGAGTTGGGGCATGCCTAATGTCCTTGGGGAGTGAGTTCCAGAGTCGAGGGGCCACCACCGAGAAGGCTCTCTCCCTCGTCCTCACCGATCGCGCTTGCGATGGTGGTGGGAGTGCGAGAAGGGCTCCCCAGATGATCGAAGAGATCGTGTGGGTTTGTACATAGAGATGCGGTCACGCAGGTAGGCACCTGCACCTTGAGATCCCACCTAAGCAAGAGCTGTTCAGCAGTGAAATATGCTGACTTGGAGTCTGGTGGAGTTTCCTTCATTGGGGAATTTTCAACAGAGCTGGGTGGCCATCTGTTGGGAGGGTTTGGATTGTGCCTTCCTGCCTGAAAAAAAAAGAGGGCTGGACTGGATGGCCCTTGAGGTTCTAACAAAAATGTCTTCATTGCATCCTGACCTGCAACGCACTTAGATCCAAGCTACAAAGAGTGTCCCAGGCTGTCCGTACTTCTCAAGTCAGCCAAACAAGCACACAACCAGGGGAAAGATGTTTGTTCCCAGTCCCTCCCAGAAGCTTCCCTCCCGTGACAGAGAGGGCTGCTCTTCTCTTTCCCACCCGCACACAAACGTGCGAAGGAGGGGTGCCAGAATACTGTTCCCAGCCTTGCGTGTGTGACAACATGTTGGACGGGCACCAGCATGGCACCAGCTCCGGGGAGTTCACAGGGGCTGAAAGAACATCTGTTGGAACTGGGACCAGTTCAGCCGGACTGCCGATCGCTCCCATCTCCAGAATGGCTCAAACGTTCTCCCAAGGCGGAGCCAGGGAGAATCAAGGCAACGAGTTTTGAGGACGCTCAAGGAGTAAAATATAAGAGCTTCAACCAGGCAGGAGTTTCAGTCCAGCAACCATGTATCTGCAGGGGACACATTTCAGGACAGGAAGCCCTATTAAAAGGACCTACGGCTGAAACGTTTAGAGAGGAATCCACTCAATGAATCTGCTGTATCTTCCAGGGCAATTCTATGGTAACATCCAGCAGAGGATCCACTAGGTGACTTTATGAAGGCCCCACTCTCTTGGCATTAGAAGATCAAGGTCAACCTCCTCAGAAGAAATCTTGCAAAGCAAACACAGGGATAGGTTAACTTTGGGGTGGCTATAAGTTGCAAATGACACAACAAATAGGGTTTTTTACCTTTCTAGTTTAGGGGGAAGCTGAAGCTTTGAATTAGTACACCAAGACTGCAGCCAGGAGGAAAATAAATTAGTACATCTTGAATGGGCCAGTACTAAAACGTTAGGACTTCAAGGCCCAAACCTGCAACCTAGGGTCAATCTCTTGCAATGTCACCAACAACCGCTCCTCAACAACATCCTTAAGCATAAGTTAGTTGCCCAGAATATGGCATTCAAATAATTAAAGAAAAAGACCAAATGCAGAAAATGGTCAACTTTGAAGCCAGTGCTCTCACCCTGAGATTCCTCCCTGTCATTCTAAAGCCTATAGAAAGCAAAGAGAACATCAATACATAAGCTCTCCCACATACACACACTTGCTTCTGTCCTCCAATGGAAAGGTCCTCCCCAAGCATATAAACTTGGCCTCACCCCACCATTGAGTGTTAAAGGGTTCTGTGCATGTAACAGATAAGCCCACGAGCTTTGCCCCAGAACATGGCTATTTTACAGCCAACATAGTTTCACTTTTTATACCAGGAGCTAACAAGGACAGCCATTAAGGCCAACTCCGTGCCCGCAGCTTAGGGCATCGGTTGGGAGCAGCCACTGCATGGCACCCATGTAATCCCATAAAGCCCCTTTTTATGCCATGTAAAGCAGAGATGGGAGGAAGGGGTCGTTTGAGGTCACCCTGCCAGAGACTCAGCAAAGTCTCTGCAGCAAAGGAGCTATTTTTGCCAGCGTTGGCACAGGCTCCCTGGAATCGCCCATCGGGCGGCCAAGTGCCAGCGGCATCCCCTGCCAGGACCTCTTTTGTATCCATCTCAGAGGAGTGAGTCAAGTCCAGAGGTTTCGAAGGACGAGGAAAGCCATGCTTCTAAGCTCAAGGCACCATCTCATCTCCACGCTGCCAGGCCACAGATGAAAACCAGGACACATATAGCCAAGTAATATCAGAGTGAAACAAGGGAGGAAAAAGTATGGATGAGGAAGAGCATCCCAACTCAAAGAGTTTGCTTTTGCCTAAGCATACAGAGAAGGGAAGGATTTCCCTCCACTCTCCT